GAGGCCCTGAGGAAGTGCCCAGTGAGCACGGCTGCTGAGGTGACAGACAAGCCCATCCGTCCTGCCTGGGTGCTGTGGATACCCTAGAAGCCCCGAGCTGTGTGGTGGTGGAAACATTCCTGGAGTAAACAGAGATGAGGCGCTCCAGTTACTCCGCCAGGGACCAGCAGCCATGAAGCTCTACGCAGTAACTTGGTTGAAGCCCAGCAAGCTTGAAACAGCCAAGAAGCCCCCATCACAGCACATGATAGTAACCAAGTCCAAGTGACCAAGAGCTGACACTGCCTCTCACACTGTTTTCCTGGCGTTGCTGTTTTACCTGCTCCTTGAGGCTCTGCCAGGCAGCTGGTAATTGTACTGAGTATCTAGCACCTTCAGTCCCCCAAGACCCTGATATACGATTGGGGAAATACAACAGAGGCAAGGAGCCTGCCCAGAAGGCAGGTCTTACCCACCTCCGATGAGGCTGGCATGGCCACAGGAAAGCACAGGAGGGGTATAAGAAGCCTGTGCAGAGGACAACCACAGAGTCTAGAGTAGGTGAGCATGGGGCCAGCATCCCTGAGGCCCAACAGCTGCCAGTGTCAGCCACTGTGGCCTGGCCTAGCCCTGAGAATAGGCCATGGTCCCTTTTAAAGGGTTAGTGACAGGACAGGGCCTTCCTCAGACCTGACCCTGCTCCATCTCGCCAATTCAGAGCTCTTCAGCATAGGGCAGGTAGTTTAGGAACATTCAAAGGGTCAGGGGACACTCCCTTTCCTGGGATATCAGAATGGGTTTCCCAAGAGTTCATCAACTTCAAACCTGATTCTAGAAAATACTAAACTACTTAATTTGGGGACTTAATTTGGGGTAGCTAGTTTAAGAACTAACCTTGATCATCACAGGGGGCGGGGGGAGGTCAGAGCTTGGGAATACAGAGCATATGGAAGCGAAAAGTGCCAGCCTGTGATCCTCAGAGTCCTGGACAAATGTGACTCCGGACACATTTCAGGGTTGCAAGGGGTGGGGGTTCATCTCTGTTGCACCTTACCCACCGTGGGGTTGTTAGGGGAGATGGAACATAGTGTGTCTGCCTGTGCTTGGCTCCACCCAGCCAAGGACAATGAGATGCCCCTCTGTGCTCTGTGCAAAAGGCAGTGACTCCTACAGAGTGAACAGCCGTTTCCCTGCAATCGTGGGTTTCCAAACCCATGTGCACTATTCCCAGAACCAAAGCAACACTGCTTCCTGCTCTTGAGTCTACATAACATCACAAAGAGGAGCGGGGCAGTGAGTGGCTGTCAGACGCCGCCTCAGACACGCTGGCAATTCTCCTTCTCAGCCTTTCCTCCTTGTGTGGGAGAGTTGAGATCACATGCAATGTGCAGTTTCACCGTCCACTGTTTCTTTTTATTTTTTTTATTTATCTGTGCAATTGTTTTGTCTGCAAGTATGCTTGTGCACCCCCTGTGTACCTAGTGTCTGAGGAGGCCAGAAGGGAACATCAGATTTCCCTGGAGCTGAAGTCACAGAAGGTTGTGAGCCACTATGTGGGTGATAGGAATCAAACCCTTGTCCTCCGGAAGAGCAGCCAGTGTTAAGCCAACTCTCCAGCTCCCCTCTGCTGTTTCTTAATGAAATTGGCTTCCTTAAACATTTTTCCGCTAACGCTGAGAGATCATCAGGTCCATTGTTCATGCCTCCCACACCCACCTAGGATACGAGTTTCAAGAAACTGGTAGTTTCCTCATGTTTTTGTTTGCTGCAAAGTCTCGGAGCCTGGAGCAGTGAAGGCACACGGTAGGCACCTAGTAAATATTTCCAGGATGAAGGCATGATGTCTGGCATTCTTCGTTCACCACCGTGGCTGGTGACCTGTTCTGCTATGTGGTGCCCAGGCAGACAGCTTGTGGCCACATGCTGCCCACTCCTGGAATAGGAGGAGTGAATGCCACATTCCAAGTGTGTTAGATGGTTGTATCAAATACTCTCCTTGGTCCTAGAAGGGTGCCTGTCCGTCTCCAGTCCTCATTGCCCCATGTGGGGGTGGATATATCCGGAGCATCCTCAGGTCCCTTCCAGCTGCCTACACAGCATCCATGGGAGTCAAAGGTAGCTGAACCAGGCGCCCAGGACTCCACCTGTTGTGAACTGAATTTACATAGTATAGTCCTGACCACAACGCCTTAGTCTGTGGCTGTATGGGGGGATGAGGCTTTGACAGAGGTCACCAAGACAAAACTAGGTCACCCTTGTACCCTCATCCAACCAGCATGGTGTCCTCAGAAGAGGAGGAGAGAGGACACAGACACACAGAGGGACAACTCCGTAAGGACGTAGGGAGGGGATGCTGTCTACAAGCCAAGAAGAGAGAAATCAGTCTGTTGATGCCTTGATCTTTGTTGTTTGGGCTCCAGCAACATCCAAAAATAACTTTCTCCATAAAGCCCCTGGTCTGTGGCACCTAGTTACAGAATCAAATACATAGAGACACAGAAACAGACTTACAGACACACAGATAGACACACAGACACACACACACACACGGTATATACATTTATTTTTCTCAGCTTAGTTAGGCCTATAGTTACCCCCAGGGACATGTAGGTTTAACCAGTACACAGGCCTTACTCAAGACCCAGTGCCTGTTGGCAGAGCCAGCACAGGATTCATCAGGTCTGAACCAGTTCAGATGCCTTCCCGGCCTCCTTATCCCACTGTGGTCACATGTGTTCCAATGCAAAGAAGCAACCTCTGCTCCCAATACCATCTTCCAGTCTCATCATCTGAGGGCTATCACTGCACACACAGCTATAGAGATACTTCCAAAAGTTGGTAAAAATCAAGGCACAGAGAGCTTCATGACTAATGTCTTGATCTGGATCAAGACCTGACTGCCATGGAACATCATCTCCTTGTACCTTGTTGCAGTGTTCTGTAAGCCTTTCCCTGGCCACTTGAGACCAACAGGCAAACACAGCCAGGGTGGCATCCACAGGCCTCAGTGCCCCACCAGAACCAGCACAAAGCAGCACTTTGCCGTCAGACCCCAGCAGCGCCCACTCTGTCCTCACCACAACTGGGAAGGCACCTAGCCCAGGAGGCTGTACGGGATACCAGGCGCACCATCACCTGCCTGTCTGGGCATGGTCAGGACCAGTATCACTCCATGACACCTGTCTGTGCCAGGTTCCAGAATGATGCCAGCCTTTCCCAGGGAGGCACAGGGGAGTCTTTCCCTGTTGACAGTGAATGTTTCTGAGCTGCCGGATGTACACTGCAGCCACACACTGGAACCTCAGCGCCTCTGTCCACTCTCCTCCACTGTAAATGTACCGTGTGTGTCATAGGCTCGCCAGAGCCAAGACATGAGAGACAGGTGAGCCAGACAATACTTGAGCTCCATTTCCAAAAGGAACCCAGGTCACCCAGCAATGACAACGACCGTCCACACTCCTGAGGGGCTGCTGTGTGCAGAGATTTCTCGCGTAGAGGGTAACCGAAGTTCCAGATGAGCAGGCCAAGACTGGGAAGACGCCCCAGTGCCAGGATCACCAGACACAGACCACAGTTCAAAACCCAGTCTCCTTGCCATAACAACCAGTCTTCCTCCCCTGGGGACAAAAACTACAAATGCAGGGAGTGGGCACCTGTGCTTCCTCTGAGGGCTCCTGATTACAGGAGGACGAGAAGTATCAATTATGGTCTGGAAACATGAAATTACCCTACGTGCACCCAGCCATTATCCCCACCACCATTAGATAAATGTCTGGAGGCCTTGCCAAGTCTGGGGATGGCCGCCCCATACGCCCCCAGGTAACAGGTTGGCTATCTCAGCAGGGCTCCCTCTTCCCATGCCACTCGCTCTTAGTTACTCTCAACACCCACTGCAGAAGTTCCTCCTTGCTTGGCTAGGAGGGAGAGGGGACAGTTTTCCGGGAGGAGGGATTCCAGGTTGAAAGCCTACAGTCAGCAGCCCCCAAGCTCCTTCCCTCCCTGCCCACTTTCTCCCAGAGGAAGTAGCTGGACATATTGCTTTATGCAATGTAGCCAAGGGCCATACTGCTGTCAGTAGCAACTTGGGGCTTGGGGGAAGCGTCCTGGAATCAAGGTGCCCTGGGTTCAAATCTCTATCATTTGCCAGAGCTCAAGTCATCAAAGTCTGGCCATAGCTCCTGGAAATGGAGGCCTGCCCCTCTCTGCTAGGAAATGAAAGGATCAGCCCTTCCCACAGCCTCACTCATAAGGCTCAGATGGGTGCACCCTGAGGTGATGTGCAGACACTCCCGCGTCTGAGTCAAAGCCTTCCAGCTCTAGATCTCAGTTTCTCTCTGAGCACAGGCACCGCTGGTCTGAGCACAGGCACCGCTGGGCTGCAGGGATATGGGATTTTCCAGCATCGCACAGAGGCTGTCAGATCCCTGTGGGTGGATGCAGCGGGAGAGGCAGGGCTGAGACACTCAGGACTGAGGGGCTGGAAGGACATCGCGCGCAGACAGTGCCGAGACTGACACACATACAGGCTCCGGCACTCAGATCTACAGCAGCGAACCTGGAGCGCTCAGGGTCTGCCAGACGCCACCACCCAGGCTCTGCGGGAACCGCGCAAGGGCGGAGTCCCCTGCTGCACAGCTCCGCCTGTCATCACACCTCTCTCCACGGTTAGGACTGCGATGACCCAGGGCCCCTTAATGGCACCCACGTACCTTAACTGAAGCAACCTGGACCCCCCCCCCCACAGAGAAGCAAGGAGTGGCGCCTGCCAGACATCTCTGCGCAGCTACCCTAGCTGGCACGGTGGGAAGGGTTTCTGGCGCACGCCACGGAACTCCGCAACCCGGCTCAGGGAGAGCGACTGAAGGCCGGGCTTTCGGGGCTGCACATCCTGGAGCAAAAGTTGGGTGGAGCCGCTGTACTCAGGGCACTGCAGTGCAGGTGCAGCCTGATTGCCACCCAGTCCTCGAGACCCTGCCAGGACTGCAGCTTGGAACCCACGGATCCCCAGTCGCAGCACTCACCTGCACTCATGTCAGCGGCAGCTCCTAGTAGGGCGGTCCCCGCTCTGCGACAGCCCGACAACTGGGCCCGCAGGTGCGGCGCTCACACGATCCTTGGCGCTCCTGTGGCCAGAGGCTCAAAGCACAGTACCCTCAGCCCGCAGCGCCACCGCAGCTCGGGGCTCCCGTCCCGCCCCTAGCCCCGCCCCTCAACTAGGCCCCGCCCCTTGGCGAGTCGCGGGAGGGTCGCACCCTGGGAAGTGTAGGCGCCTCGCCCCCGCAGCCCGTCTGCGTGCCACCGCGGTTAGATGTGAGGACTACAAGTCCCAGTAGGCTATGCGGTCCGCGCAGGCGCAGACTGTCGGTAACGCAGGTGCCCTCCAGCACCTGCTTCTGGAGCTCTGCAGAGCTGTCAACACGGTCTAAAGGACAAGACTATGGCTCATTTCAGTACCGGGAGCGCGAAGAGGGAGGCGCAGGGAAAAAGGATCTTGGAGTAACTCTTCTGGAGTGATGGAAGGTCTCGGAACCATATCTTCTCTTCCTTCCCAGTACACAGAAAGGGGGAACTGAGGTGGGGCAGGGGGAGCGGGCCGGGGAAGCAGACCAGGAGCAGTATTTAATGACACACACCCCCAAGGTGGAGGTTCTAACGGGTTGGGATTCCGGCGCAGGTGTACGGACTCCTCGCCTTACGCCCAGACGTCGCTTTTACGGCTCGGCTGACGCTGGGTGATGCACACTGAGAAGACTCTGGCACATCCTACTCTCTAGCCATCCTGCCCACAGGGTGACCGATACCCTTGTGACGTCAGGCGTCCAGAGGTGAAAACAGGGCGTGAAAACAGACTGAAAGGAGAGCCTGCATAGGGAGGCACAGGTGGATTCTGCCGTGCGCTGGCGGTGACAACAGGTGGGCACAAGAGCTTGAGAGGAGACGGACTAGAGAGAAGCGAGAGCACGGATGCGTAAAGCTCAGGGTGGGAGCATGCAGGATGTGGCACTGAATGGAGAGGCACAGGCCGGGGCATTTGGCCCGGATTAGGGCTGTTCAAAGTAATACTGAGACAGAAACAGAAATGCCTCCCCGGCGATCAGTATCATCCATCTATTTCAAAGGGGACCAGGAGGCCAGAGGCTCTGGTGAAACCTTGAGGGGAGCTGCACATTCCTCCACATCCTGTAAACCAGCAGACCCTGCTGGCAGCTGTGCTTCAGCAACAGGTGCCCACCAAGAGCACAAAGAGCGGGACTGACTCTGGGATCTTTTGCCCAGAAAACCAAATCACCCAGGAAGTTGATAACTAAGGTAGGGCTGGCCCAGCAGCAACTTATTCATGCACAGAATTCTGTAGGGCTGGATTTGACTTGTAGCAAATCAGTCGATTTGAATAGATTAAATTTAGACCTTTGTTCTGCGTCTGCAGGGTTATGACCCATGGATGATCCAGTCACTTGCTTTCTCTCAGTACCTCAGTTTCTTCACCTTTTAAGTCACAATACCCTTGGCTTAAATTAGTAATACAGAGAAAACTGTTCAAAGCTACTAGCCTAGAGCCAATACTGAATAAACAATAGTCAAGATGACAGTAAATGTGGGGTCAATGTGGGCTCATCACCCTCCCTCAAAGGATGGGCCAATTTCACTGGGGTCCATTCATGATTTCAGTCAACAATGACTTGGGAAAATCAAGTCCCATGATTCACTGTTACCAAGTCCCACTGCTGCTGTTTGAGTAGCCAGCCTGGAGAGGGCACCAAAGGCTTCAAAGAGGGCACAGGAAGCTCTCCACACCCTTAACAGCCGGACCAAGACCCTCCCACTGACCATTGAGACTCAGGGGTGTTGTAGGGAGGCCACTTGTTTGTCCTGGCCGCCCAGAACCAAAATAACCACTCAGAAACTATATTATTTAAAACACTGCTTGGCCCATTAGTTCTAACTTCTTATTGGCTAACTCTTACATCTTAGTTTAACCCATTCCTAGTAATCCGTGTATCGCCACGAGGTTGTGGCTTACCAGGTAAAGTTCTGGGTGTCTGTGTCTGGTGGGGCTACATGGCTTCTCTCTGACTCTGCCTCCTTTCTCCCAGCATTCAGCTTAGTTTTACCACCTAGCTCTGTTCCGCTATAGCTCTGCTATAGGCCTAAAGCCGTTCCTTTATTTATCAATGGTAATCACAACATACAGAAGGAATCCCACATCACCTCCCCTTTTCTGTTTAAATAAAAAGAAAGGTTTTAACTTTAACACAGTAAAATTACATAACCCATTTCTATTAATCTGTGCATTGCCACATGGCTGTGGTTTACCGGCTAAAGTTTCAACCAGCATCTGTCTCTGGTGGTTCCATGGTATCTCTCTGTCTCTGTCATTCATTCTCCTGGCATTCAGTTTCGTTTTCCTCACCTTGCTAAGTTCTGCCCTGCAGTCCAAAGCAGTTTCTTTATTTATTAATGGTAATCACAGCATACAGAAGAAAACCCCGCATCACAGGGGCAGATGCAGATCAGATGTGGGAGACACATTCTTGAATATCCAGCCTCCAGAACCATGAGACCTCTATTTTTAATAAACTACCTGTCTCGGGTGTGTTGTCACAGCAACAGAAGATGGACTAAGATAAGTCAGTCTCTCTTTCTGGAAAACCCTAGAGGGAGTGGAGCTTTTCTAGGCACCAGGGCACCAGGGGAGGGATGGGTGTGGTCCAACCCCTGGGACTGCAGGCAACTTCAGATGCATCATTGGCCCGTGCCCTTCCAGGGAGGATCTGTCTGTACACCACTGCCTCTCATGGGATTTGCCTTCTTTGGGATTAGAAAACATTAGAAGACAAGAGCATCGACAATCTCCCTGTGTTCTGACTCACAGTTCTCCTAACTTGGAACTTGGGCTCTGGGGCAATCTCTTGTGTTATCAGTCCTATGTTAGAGCTGCTACAATATTCAAAGTCATGCCCAAAGCCAGCAAAGAAAGAGATGAGGTACACAGGAGACAGGACAAGATTGTCAGAGCCCCCAGTGGGCCATAAGGACATCCAAGGGTGCTATGTCACTCCTACCTTTAGGAGAATAGCCTAACCACTGATTATGGAATGTAGATTAGCACAGGACGAGGCACAGAACAAATAGACAGGTCCTGGCCTGTGGCCTGAGTATCATGAGTTCTGAGTATCATGAGCCAGTCACTGCTTTCTCTTGGGCAACAGGTTATCAACTTGAGTGTGTTCCTAGAAACATGAAGATAAAAGACAAGAGAAACAAATGAAGTTGATGCTCACATCTGAATCCGACAGTGCAGCTAACGAGCTCAGCCTGTCCTGCTATGTCTTGTAGGAAGTTTCTTAATGGTTGGGACCTCCTGAGACACATGGGCTGTAACTACAGTGAGGGCTCTTTCTTTTTCCATCAGTGCCCAGAGGACAAGCCCAGGTCCCTGCCATGCTGCATGGCCTTTGCATTGCTTCCAGGTGAAGAGCATTTGTCTTGGAAGTAATCACTTCCCTTTATTTAGACAGGGGGTCCCTGTTGGAGAAGGTCACTTGTTGGTTCCCAGCTGCCCAGCTAGCTTAGACCCGAAATAATCACACAGAAACTGTATTAATTAAATCACTGCTTGGTCCATTAGCTCTAGCTTCTTATTGGCTAACTTATATTAATTTAACCCATTTCTGTTAATCTGTATATCACCACATAGCTGTGGCTTACTGAGTAAAGTTCCCAGCATCTATCCCCTATCCCTAGTGGCTCCATGGCTTCTCTCTGACTCTGCCTCCTTTCTCCCAGCATTCAACTTAGTTTTCCCTGCCTAGCTCTGTTCCCCTATAGCTCTCCTATAGGTCCAAAGCAGTTTCTTTATTCATTAACCAATAAAAGCAACACATAGACAGAAGGCCCTCCCACCACCAGGTCCTCCACCAGGAAAGTAGGTGGAGCCCCCAGTGTCAGCCTCATGGAGACAACAGGTAGGATGATGGCCAATGTGTGGAAAGTTAAGACAGGAGAGCTGAGTCTGTTCATAGGGCAGAGGGGCCCCTTTGTCAGCCAGAGTTGGATGAACCACACATGGGGCCTTGGCTCAGGGCATAAAAATGGAGGATGAATGTAAAACTGTACCTGAGGGGCCAAACCAGAGAAGGAAGTTACAGCCAGGGCTGTTGTGCCTCTGTGCCAAACCCTGCAATTTAGTTACATTGTCTCAAGGGTCCTAATCATCACCATTTTACAGACAGAGAACTGAGGCATTTGCTATTACTAAGTGCAGCCATTAGAATGTATCCAGACCTTTTGGAGAAGAGTGAGCCATGGGTCATCTGGTAATGTGCCCTCCAGAACCTGTCACTGCCTACAAAGAATGTAAGAATCTAAGAGTCACACGTGGAGTGAATGGTCAAAATGGGTCCTGTCTCACTGGCCCATACCTTCTGCTGTACCTCTGGCTGACAGGAATGTCCACCCTTCTTGAAAGCATGGGCTAACTCTTTGGGCTTTCTCCTTGTAACAGCCTCTCCTGAGCCCTGCTAAGTCAGGGCCCTCCACAACCAGGGCCATTCACGGCCATATCACTTCCAAGCCTCAACTTCTCTATCCTACCTGACTCCATCCCCAGCATCAGAACTGCCAGGTGACTTTAAACCTTCCTCATCTTAGTGTCCATGGTGCTCCTCCTGGTTTCTAAAGACTCTGGGGGTCACTAGCCCAGAGGAAAAGGGCCCGCTGAGCTGAGGGGTCAATGAGTGCCCCACAATGCCTCTCCATTGACACCCCCGACTCCATAAAAGAAGAGGCCAGAGCTATTAAGCCCATTTCATCCTCTTGGCCCTCTCCCTGGGTCTGAGGAAATTTCCCTTAAGGTGAGCCTGGGGGAGGTGACTCAAGGCAGCAAGGCTCACATGGGACCTGGTCTAGAAAGATGTGGGTCTGCAAATGTCACAGTGCTGAGTTCCTGCCTGTAAGGGAGCCATGGCAGAGCTAGACCGGCTCTCCAGCCTAAGCTGTGCTCCCCACATGGAGCGGAAGCATTGATCTGTTTCTCAGCCCAGGAGAGAAACAAATGAAATAGGCTGTCACTGTGGGCCTTTCCAACCACTCAATAATTTAAAGCCATGCCGTGTGAAACCAGGAGGAGGCCAGCAGCCAACTCGCTGCTCTGCTCTGCTCTCACCGTGGCAGTCTCTATAACCTGG